TGGATCAGAGCCTGATCAACCAGGCTGTTGCTGCTGCTGCACGCAAACCAACGTACGAGCCACAGCCCGGCTGATCAGGAACTGACTTTCGGTGCTTGTCCAGTGCCAGCTTGAAGACTGCCAGGGGTCTGTTGGTAATCCCCCTTATGTGTGCTGGGAGGCAGTTGAACAGTCTCGGGCCCCTGACACTTATTGTATGGTCTCTTAACGTGCTAGTGACACCCCTGCTTTTCATTGGGGGATGGTGCATCGTCTGCCAAGTCTTTTGCTTTCGTAGTGAGTGATTTTCGTGTGCAAGTTCGGTACTAGTCCCTCTAGGATTTTCCAGGTGTATATAATCATGTATCTCTCCCTCCTGCGTTCCAGGGAATACAGGTTTTGGAACCTCAAGCGCTCCCAATAATTGAGGTGTTTTATCTCCGTTATGTGCGCCGTGAAAGTTCTCTGTACATTTTCTAGGTCGGCAATTTCACCTGCCTTGAAAGGTGCTGTTAGTGTGCAACAATATTCCAGCCTAGATAGAACAAGTGACCTGAAGAGTGTCATCATGGGCTTGGCCTCCCTAGTTTTGAAGGTTCTCATTATCCATCCTGTCATTTTTCTAGCAGATGCGATTGATACAATGTTATGGTCCTTGAAGGGAGATCCTCCGACATGATCACTCCCAGGTCTTTGACGTTGGTGTTTCGCTCTATTTTGTGGCCAGAATTTGTTTTGTACTCTGATGAAGATTTAATTTCCTCATGTTTACCATATCTGAGTAATTGAAATTTCTCATCGTTGAACTTCATATTGTTTTCTGCAGCCCACTGAAAGATTTGGTTGATGTCCGCCTGGAGCTTTGCAGTGTCTGCAATGGAAGACACTGTCATGCAGATATCGGGTGTCATCTGCAAAGGAAGACACGGTGCTGTGGCTGACATCCTTGTCTATGTCGGATATGAGGATGAGGAACAAGATGGGAGCGAGTACTGTGCCTTGTGGAACAGAGCTTTTTCACCGTAGCTGCCTCGGACTTTACTCTGTTGCGAACTAACTCTGTGTTCTGTTAGTGAGGAAATTATAGATCCATCGACCGACTTTTCCTGTTATTCCTTTAGCACGCATTTTGTGCGCTATTACGCCATGGTCACACTTGTTGAAGGCTTTTGCAAAGTCTGTATATATTACATCTGCATTCTTTTTGTCTTCTAGTGCATTTAGGACCTTGTCGTAGTGATCCAATAGTTGAGACAGACAGGAGCGACCTGTTCTAAAACCCATGTTGCCCTGGGTTGTGTAACTGATGGGTTTCTAGATGGGTGGTGATCTTGCTTCTTAGGACCCTTTCAAAGATTTTTATGATATGGGATGTTAGTGCTATTGGTCTGTAGTTCTTTGCTGTTGCTTTACTGCCCCCTTTGTGGAGTGGGGCTATGTCTGTTGTTTTTAGTAACTGTGGGACGACCCCCGTGTCCATGCTCCCTCTCCATAGGATGGAAAAGGCTCGTGATAGGGGCTTCTTGCAGTTCTTGATGAACACAGAGTTCCATGAGTCTGGCCCTGGGGCAGAGTGCCATGGGCATGTCATTTATGTGCATAGAGTTTTTACAGTGTGGTATGGACACGAGGTATATCAAAAAGAGATCTGTCTTGTGTTGTGTTCATGTGTCCTGTTTAGGTTGGTGAGGAAAAGTTTGAGTGGGGGGTTTATATTTGCGTGTATTGTTCTGTGTATGTAGTAGGCACATGAATGAGTATGGATGTTCTTAATGGTAAGCAGATTTAGACTTTTGATAATTGGTGAGGTATGCTGGCAGGAGTGGGAATTTATCATCATTCTTACTGCTGCCTTTTGCTGGGTTATCTGTCTGTCTGCCTAGCTCTGCTTATCTGTCTTTGTCTGCCTGTGTGTCTGTCTTTCCATCAGCTTGTCTCTGTCTCAGGAAGCAGCTAGTAAACCTGTTGGTTTGTGGTGTATGAGCCACTCCTGATTGCTGAGCAAGTGACACTGCTATTACTTGTCATGTTTATTTATGACATATCTACAAACACTGTATAGCACTTGGCCTGGAATTTTTGGGTTATCCTAGGTAATTTACATTATGTATAATTGTATTTATGAGTACATGTGAGAGACAGATACACAAATACAGTGATATAGACAGATACAGAGATAGACAGACACAGACAGAGACAGCCAAAGCCAGCCAGCTAGCCAGCTGAATACATAAGAACATAAGAAAGACGGAACACTACAGCAAGCCTACTGACCCATGCAAAGCAGGTCCATGTCACCCCCCTGGCTTAGACCAATGACCCACCTAGTCAGGTCACATCCACTGAAAGAAGGAGCACGACATCTGACCTAGTAGCACAAGTCAGTCAGGTCCAACTCACACTCACTCATGCATTTATCTAACCTATTTTTACTTTCCTCTTAAAATGTGAGTGCTAGTATGACATGATATCAGTGAATCCTTGGTGTTTGCCACGATATTTGCTCTAGCTGGCACTCGGTTGAACTGGTGCTCCCACAAGGTACTTAGTGCTCCCAGATTTTTTCATAGTGCACACACTGAGTGCACAGACCCATTCTTTCATGTCTAGGCGATTCAGGCCTATTGCACCAAATTTGAAGGAATGAAAAATAAAGCGTTGATCTATGTTCTGTGCCTGCCACACGTCAACGTATATCTGTGTGTGCACAGTTTAAGGGTTAAATGAGATTAGTTAATTCTAATGTATTTTTGTGTCCTGAATTCAAATATCAACTTGAAAAATGCTTGTGCCCCATTTGTTTGGTTCAATGGATGTTGAACATTTTTCATCCCTGGCTCCAATGATTGACAAAGTGGCCAGTCTCTCCTGATGTAGTGGGAACCTATAATATGCCACACATGCATATCAGTAGCATACAAGATGTGTAATATTTGATTATTTTATTATAAATCTTCATCAGAGTACAAAACAAATTCTGGCCACAAAAAAGAGCAAAACACCAACGTCAAAGACCTGGGAGTGATCATGTCGGAGGATCTCGCCTTCAAGGACCATAACATTGTATCAATCGCATCTGCTAGAAAAATGACAGGATGGATAATGAGAACCTTCAAAACGAGGGATGCCAAGCCCATGATGACACTCTTCAGGTCACTTGTTCTATCTAGGCTGGAATATTGCTGCACACTAACAGCACCTTTCAAGGCAGGTGAAATTGCTGACCTAGAAAATGTACAGAGAACCTTCACGGCGCGCATAATGGAGATAAAACACCTCAATTACTGGGAGCGCTTGAGGTTCCTAAACCTGTATTCCCTGGAATGCAGGCGGGAGAGATACATGATTATATACACCTGGAAAATCCTAGAGGGACTAGTACCGAACTTGGAAACGAAAATCACTCGCTACGAAAGCAAAAGACTTGGCAGACGATGCAACATCCCCCCAATGAAAAGCAGGGGTGTCATTAGCACGTTAAGAGACCATACAATAAGTGTCAGGGGCCCTGAGACTGTTCAACTGCTTCCCAGCATACATAAGGGGGATTACCAACAGACCCCTGGCAGTCTTCAAGCTGGCACTGGACAAGCACCTAAAGTCGGTTCCTGACCAGCTGGGCTGTGGCTCGTACGTTGGTTTGTGTGCAGCCAGCAGTAACAGCCTGGTTGATCAGGCTCTGATCCACTAGGAGGCCTGGTCACAGACCGGGCCGCGGGGGTGTTGACCCCCGGAACTCTCTCCAGGTAAACTCCAGGTAACATACAACATGTGTCGGTATGTTTTTAAACTCTAATCCGTACCTACTCTCTGCCTTTTTGCTTGATGCTTATAGCAGGCTGAAGATTCATCACTTGCCAATGTCCAGCAATAGTCCAGCAACTGCCTTACAGTTAGCTGGAAAAAAGTCTAAAGTGGATTTTAAATGACGTGTTACATCCCATGTTCTTGTAAGCCTTGATGAGGTTTTCCACCAGTTCTTCATTGTTTCCAAGAAATCCCTTTGCCACTAACTTGAATGCTTCCCAAGCAGCTTTCTCCTCCCCATGAAGGTCTGATTCAAAGTCACCATCTTTAAGAAGCTTTCAAATCTGAGGGCCATTGAAGACTTCCTCTCTTATCTTAGCATCGCTCAGTGAGGGGAATTTTGATGTTAAATACTGGAATCCCTGACCAGATTTGTCCATAGCTTTTTAAAAAGTTGTTCATGAGCCTGATTTGTGTGTAGTGGTGGTAGCAAAATTTTGTTTGGTTCAGTGGATGTTGAACATTTTTCATCCCAGGCACCAATGATTGACGAGGTGGCCAGTCTCTCCTGATGTAGTGGGAACCTGTAATATGCCCCACATGCATATCAGTAGCTTGCTCAGTGAATATATAAGTTTAAGAAGTGTTTGGTTAAGGAAATCACCTACTTCTCATCCCAAAATATAAACTTGCACAGCACAACCACCTTCTATGACTGCTGGAACAATAATGAAGGGCAGTGAGACTGTGAGTGTGGTAAGAAACACGCTGCCGCAAGCCTGTTGGAACCTGTTGTGACACGTAAGTGTATATTGAAAAGTAAAGCTAACATGATATTCATCAGTGACCTAAAATTAGTTAGAAATTGCTACTCTGGTCTCTGAAGCATTTTGGCTGTTGAAATTTTGGAAAGTTTCCGACATAATGGAGACGCAGTGCTCATGGAGAATGTAAACAAACCAGGTGGGGCGCGGTGATCGTACTAGAAAGTCAGGTGGGGGGAGCCATATAGCGAGTTTTGGTCAGAATTTGAAATGTCCATGTTAGCGGAATGCTGTAAAGCCGGGCCCTACTGTATTGTTTGTAGCGGCTTGACAAAACTCCTGGAGAGCTACAATAAAAATGTCCTTTTACCTAACATATTGTTGGTAATTCTACTAACGTTAGTACATATTGTAACTGCAATAATTGCTAATGGTGACTGCTTATTACAAGTTATAATTTTTCAAATCAGAATAGCATATGAAACCTTATAAGAAATAATTGTTTTTCAGCTACTGAGGTTTATCAGAAGTATGTCAAAAGATGAAAAAGCTATTGTTTTTGTTGGGAAAAAAGTTACAGTGGATTATCTTTCAGTTGAAATGCTGGAAAATGGATTGTGTGTAAGTATATTTTAAACATTTTTCAGTATCATTTTATTAATCTAGCGTGTTTTGGCTATACTGTCTGTTTTCTTAACTCTAACTTTTTGGAAACTTCTGTCATGGCAGTATTTCTGATATTTGATATTTGTATGCCTATGTCATATCTTTTCACTGATTTTATTCATCATGACTAACACTACTGTACAGTCTTTTAAATACAGAACTTCAAAATTAGTATTTTAGAGGTCTGTTTGCAGCTAGTGCCATATTAGCTGGATAAAACAGTTTTGAAAGTTAATGTGACATCACAGCAGATCACTGATTGGGCAGATCTCTCCAGTGTGATGATCATATGGCTGACCCACTAACAGAGTTTAGAGTGAGATATTGTACTACTAATGCAGATTTAAATAAAATGCAGATTACTTGAATTTCTCTATGAAATTACATATCTGCTGACTGGTCTTAAAATAATTTTTGTGTGAAGATATTAATACTAGGCAGAGCTATTGCCAAAATAAAAAAACTCAAGTGTTCAGTTTATTTTACTGTATTAGAAGTCTTAGCATTAAAAAATGTAATAATTCTCAGGTGCAGAGTATGCATGGTGACAGAGATCAGTGTGACCGCGAACAAGCACTAAATGATTTAAAAACTGGTAGAGTTAAAGTTCTCATTGCTACTGATGTTGCTGCAAGAGGAATTGATGTCACTGATGTTACGTAAGTATAATTATTTTGACAGTTATATTAGAGGTGTGCACTGTACACTGAATAATATGTTAATATTATCTTTTTTTTGAGACAGTGACTAGATAAAGTATAATGTAGCCTAGTATGAAGTATAAAAAATCAGTATCGTTGCAATCCTCAATTTGTACACTACAAGATCACATCCTGAGCATACACGAGGATGAATAGAGGTGGATACCTAGATGTCAGATGTTAGCTCTTTGCAATTGCTTTACTGCCACCTTTGTAGAGTGGAGCTATGTCTGTTGTTTTTAGTGAGTGGGATGACCCCTGTGTCCATGCTACCTCCATACAATACTGAAAGCATGCAACAGGGGCTTCTTGCAGTTCTTGATGAATATGGAGTTCCATGAGTCTGGGCCTGGGGCATAGTGCATGGGCATGTCATTGCTGTTTTAGAGTCTTGTGGTGTTAGGATAATATCCAAGATTTTTGAGATGACCAAATTTTGGGTCTTGTTCATAATGAATTCATTTGGATTGTTGACCCTTAGTCTGGGTAGTCGCTCACTGAACATTGAGCCATATTGGGACTTAAGTATCACACTCATTTCTTGGCTGTCATCTGTGTATGTCCCACGCAAAAAACAACCTAGACCTCCCCTCGACATCTGTGATTCCCCGCAGTTCACACCAACACTCGCCCAATTGACTATAAACATAGAAATACATAATATAACTATTACCTAACAAATATTAACTAGTCATAAGTTTGCCTGTGATACTCCAATATAGGAGCTTCAACAGAAACTATGTATCATACCAAAACAAAACCATTCACATTGCTAAATTTACGAACTGTAATGCAGTTACTTAGCCTTAATCTTAGTCTGCCCGGAATGCCTAGTCATGCTGTGTGTGTGATAGTGGCCCTCTCTGTAATTAGTTTTATATAATACGTAAACATACAATATCCTATAATATGTAAACCCCACATTGTAATCTTTATAGAGAATAAACTTGATTTGACTTGATTTGATCTCTCCTCAGCAGGGGCCCAATACTGGATGTTGTTTTTTCCCTTAGATTTGGCATAAGAGAAGAAGTAATTTTTTTTTTTCCTGCAATTCTTGTCTCCTGTAAGATTCCTTCAGCTCAAGTTCCTCTCAGTAGCTCTGTGACTCTTCGCAATTGTCTGTATAGGGAGCATCTCTCTCTTTAGAACAGATCTCGAGAACCACAGAGTTTATTTTTTTCTGGGTTAAGGTTCAGATATCTTCCCAGCTTGTTTCATTTAGGACATGGTTGACTTGTTCCCATTGTATGTTTTTATTATTGAAATTGAATTTTATGAAGACACTCTCATGACTGATCACATAATGCTGGTCAGGAGCCCTGTGCATACAAGTCTGTACCTCTGTTATGTTGTGACCTGAGTGTACAATGGACCCCCGGTTTTTGTAATTAACCCTTTGAGGGTTTCGGACGTACTAGTACAGCTTACGACCCAGGGTTTTTGACGTACTAGTACGCCTAAATTCTAGTGCCCTCAAATCTAGTGGGAGAAAGCTGGTAGGCCTCCATATGAAAGAATGGGTCTATGTGGTCAGTGTGCACGGTATAAAAAAAATCCTGCAGCACACAGTGCATAATGAGAAAAAAAAAACTTTGACCGTTTTTTTTTGGAATAAAACAGCGACTTTGCACTGTATTTTCGTATGGTATTTTATTGTTGTATTCTAGTTTTCTTGGTCTCATTTTATAGAATGGAAGGCATATCATAGAAATTGAGATGATTTTGACTGGTTTTACAATGAAAAGTACCTTGAAATTGAGCTCAAAGTTGCAGAAATGTTCGATTATTACCAAAGTTCAAAAGTAAACAAATCATGCCAAGCGTCCAATACACGTCAACTGGCGAGTCTAATATTCTTTTGCAAGTGCGCCAATATGATTCATACCATTTTTTACACTAATGCAGTAGTCTGCATAACAGTAAATCTTCTATTTTTTGTGAAAATAAAAATTCAAAGTGGAAAGCAAAAGAATGTAAGAGGGGCCTTGAGACGTGACTAATGAACAGAGGAAATGTTATTTTAGTGCCAGGAATGTATTTCTTGTTTAGTTCTGGACCCTATTCGGAAATTGGCATCTTTTGAAATTTGTGTGAAATTGGCAAAATTGCTAAATTCTGACCACTGTACTGGATAGTTGAAATTGGTAAATGGGTGGTTTCTTGCATTCATTCAATAGAAAAAATGGAGTTCTAGTGAAATATTCATGTTTTTTGTCGACTAGTGCAGTGGAACTGGTCGAAAATGGGGCTCAAAGTGGGCAAAATCGCCGATCCGTAAACATCGCCGAGACCGCTAACTTCGCGAGAGCATAATTCCGTAAGTTTTCCATCAAATTTCATATTTTTGGTGTCATTATGATCGGGAAAAGATTCTCTATCTTTTCACAAGAAAAAATTATTTTTTTTTTCTTTAAATTTGGCCGACCCTGAGAACGAGTCTCGGAGAGGGCCTATCGACCCTCAAAGGGTTAATCTGTTCCAGAGAGAGTGACTAAACCTGAATCTGACAAATTCCAAATTAATTTTCCCCACAAGGAATAATGGAAATCCAGTTAATCCATTTGACTCCCAAAAGTATTAACAAAAAATGTTTTCTACATGAAATATACATTTACCTACACAGAAAATGATACATGAAGAATAAAACAATAATAACATCGCACTTACCTTTATTGAAGACATGGTGATGTATGGAATACTGGAGGAGTGGAGAGGAGGGAGGAGTTTACAGTTGTTTGGAAGGGGTATCCCCTTCCATAAAGGCTTCAGGTACCAAGTCCTTATCCTGGGTTACTTCCCTTCTTTGTTTTTTAATGCCACTAGGACCAGCTTGAGTGTCACTGGAACCCTGTTGCTCAAAAAAGTGTTCCAGAGAGGTCTGTTTCTGGCGTATGTTAGGAATTGTGTTGGGAGACAGGACAAGATACTTTCAATATGACACTAATATCAGCTCTGCGGCTTTTTTTTTTTTTTTTAACAAGTCGGCCGTCTCCCACCAAGGCAGGGTGACCCAGAAAGAAAGAAAAAATCCCCAAAAAGAAAATACTTTCATCATTCAACACTTTTGCCTCACTCACATATAATCACTGTTTTTGCAGAGGTGCCAAGAATACAACAGTTTAGAAGTATATACATATAAAATTACACAGTATATCCCTCCAAACTGCCAATATCCCAAACCCCTCCTTTAGAGTGCAGGCATTGTACTTCCCATTTCCAGGACTCAAATCCGGTTATATAAAATAACCGGTATCCCTGAATCCCTTCACTAAATATTACCCTGCTCACACTCCAACAGCTCGTCAGGTCCCAAATACCATTTGTCTCCATTCACTCCTATCTAACACGCTCACGCGCGCTTGCTGGAAGTCCAAACCCCTCGCCCACAACACCTTTACCCCTTACCTCCAACCTTTTTGAGGACGACCCCTACCCCGCCTTCCTTCCTCTACAGGTTTATACGCTCTCCATGTCATTCTACTTTGATCCATTCTCTCTAAATGACCAAACCACCTCAACAAACCCTCTTCAGCCCTCTGATTAATACTTTTATTAACTCCACACCTTCTCCTAATTTCCACACACTGAATTTTCTGCATAATATTTACACCACACATTGCCCTTAGACAGGACATCTCCACTGCCTCCAACTGCCTCCTCACTGCAGCATTTACAATCCAAGCTTCACACCCATATAAGAGTGTTGGTACTACTATACTTTCATACATTCCCTTCTTTGCCTCCATAGATAACATTATTTGCCTCCACATATACCTCAATGCACCACTCACCTTTTTTCCTTCATCAATTCTGTGATTAACCATCTTTCATAAATCCATCCGCTGACACGTCAACTCCCAAATATCTGGAAACATTCACTTCCATACTCCTCCTCCCCAATTTGATATCCAATTTTTCTTTATCTAAATCATTTGATACTCTCATCACCTTACTCTTTTCTATGTTCACTTTCAACTTTCTACCTTTACACACACTCCCAAATTCATCCACTAACCTTTGCAATTTTTCTTTAGAATCTCCCATAAGCACAGTATCATCAGCAAAAAGTAACTGTTACTTCCCATTTTGTATTTAATTCCCCATAATTTAATCCCACCCCTCTCCTGAACACCCTAGCATTTACTTCTTTTACAACCCCATCTATAAATATATTAAACAACCATGGTGACATTACACATCTCTGTCTAAGACCTATTTTTACTGGGAAATAGTCTCCCTCTCTTCTACACACCCTAACCTGAGCCTCGCTATCCTCATAAAAACTCTTTACAGCATTTAGTAACTTACCACCTGTTCCATATACTTGCAACATCTGCCACATTGCTTCCCTATCCACTCCATCATATGCCTTTTCTAAATCCATAAATGCATAAAAAACTTCCCTACCTTTATCTAAATACTGTTCACATATATGCTTCAATGTAAACACTTGATCTACACATCCCCTACCCACTCTAAAACCTCCTTGCTCATCCGCAATTCTACATTCTGTTTTACCTCTAATTCTTTCAATAATAACCCTACCGTACACTTCCTGGTATACTCAGTAAACTTATTCCTCGATAATTTTAACAATCTTTTGTCCCCCTTCCCTTTATATAAAGGGACTATACACACACTCTGCCAATCCCTAGGTACCTTCCCCTCTTTTATACATTTATTAAACAAAAATATCAACCACTCTGACACTGTCCCCCCCCCCCCCTCTGCTGTTAACATTTCTGTCATGATCCCATCAGTTCCAGCTGCTTTACCCCCTTTCATTCTACGTAATGCCTCACGTACCTCCCCCACACTCACATCCTGCTCTTCTTCACTCCTAAAAGATGGTATACTTCTCTGGCCAGTGCATGAAATTACCGCCTCCCTTTCTTCCTCGACATTTAACCCTTTGAGGGTTTTCGTCGTACTAGTACGTCTTACGCGTAGGGGTT